AACGAAAGTTAGACCTGCACCATTTTCTTAAGCGTCTTTTTGGGTATCCAAGGTCAAAATTTGATAAAAAAAATGTGACGTTTTATGAAAAAATAAAAATTGCCTATATTTCACGAAAATTAGGTGAAAGTTTCTCTAATTTTCGAAAAATTGTACATGACTATTTAAAAATATGTCTTTAAAGAACAGATTTCATTTTAAAAATCTGCCTTTAATATTGTAGCAAGATGCTAAACAAATATTGACATTTTTATATTTTCTAAAAATCAGGATTTTTAACGAAAATGAGATCTTCAACGGTTTCTTAAACATCCTTCATGCTACCCAACAGCAAAATTTAATTTAAAAAAATATGGTGAATAAAATTGAACATAAAATAAACGTATTAAAAAATTGAATTAAAAAATATTAATGTCCCAAAGGCTTCGTGTAAAGTATAAAGTATCTCTCTTCAAAATTAAAATATCAGTTTCAAATTCATGGGTCCGCGATATCAGCCAGATCAATTGGGAAATATCAATTTTGATGCAATTCTGTTTACGGTTTAGCCGCTAGCATTGTTTCGATGTCAAGGAACCACAAACATGAATTTTGACTGACGTGTTTAGAAGATGTACTATATATAGGGACAAGATATATCCACTTTTTCGTTACCAGAACCCGGCACTAAGAGTCTGTGGAAAATTCGCTGTTTTTTTCAGCAGCATTACAATACTTCCTCTATGCTGCATAAGCATTAGCGAGAAAGTAAAAAAAGCCAGAACATTTTCCTTCTAACCGTCGTAGAGAAGTTCCCAACAGTTTTTTCGCAACTGTTTTTGATGTTTCGAACGAAATTCAGCGAAACTTTGAAGCCATGGGAAACGGAGTTTTCGATTCTGCAGAGAATACCGTACAAGATCTGAGAGGCACGGTTGGGTTGAACCGGCAACTGCGAGTGCGAGTGAGTAATCTACTAAGAGAGACTACTCATCGTGCTGCCATGCCAGTGTCGGTCTCACGCAGGTGATCTTATCTCAACCAAATGACATGAAGGTTATAATATTGGAACTCGGCAAAGTTATGTAGTAAAAACTTATCATCATGAGTTATCATCTTTTGGATCGTAGTGAAAAAGTGAAAATCTCTACGGCAAAACATTTGGTAATGTTGAAAATGCTGTGAAAGCAGTACGGAAATGACTGCAAGAGCTTGCTCTAGGACTTTATATTGGATGATCACGTGATGCAAAAGTTTAGGATTGAGTGAACCCAAGGGGAAGGAAGGTGTCTTCTCGAGAACTTGTAGTAATAATACAGCATACACTCTCTCGTATTATTTATTGTTACGTAAGAGGGTAGGTTTTGTATGGTACGGTTATGAAAGAGGAATGTAATATTGCAGCTCGAATTCTGTGAATAATTCATTTTACCCCTGACAAATTATCATCGATAAAAAAGCGTGGGAAGCAACGAAATAGTAGTAATAATAATAATAATAATAATAATAATAATAATAATAATAATAATAATATAAATCTTAAATTTTCGAAAATTCAAAATTGTTCATGAAAATGGGATTTTTGCGTTTGATTTCTGTATATTGTGCTCTATTTTTGTAGAACGTTTAACTCTTTATTGTGATTCTCCGAAACCACATGCTGTACGGTCCTTCTTTCTTGAAATGGAAATAATTCCTAAGAAAAAGTTACCTGACCTATAAAAGGTTAAATAAAAATGCCTCGTCTGATATTTGAAATCGAGCACCTTCGTTTCCGAAACCATCTGCATACAACGTACTTTATTATTTTGTATTATAATATTTTGTTTATACTTCTTAGGAAGGAAATGCAGTCTTGTTTTGTATTCCTTAGCTCGGCGTCGAACGTAACGTCGGCGAACTTAAATATTGAAATATTGTTTTATTTATACCCGAAACAAAACTTATGAACTGGAAACTGCACGAATTCGCTATACCTTATGGTGAATGAATCCGTGTTCTCTGTGGGTCTCGAACCCGCAGCCGTCGCCTCTACTAACTTGACGCTGCTGTTGCTGCAAGCCCTTACGCCTCTGATGCCTTGCGAGCCACTATAAAATACGGCGCCCCATCGTCCGTGTTATCTGGGCCTCGGGTGTTTGGTTAATGTTGCCGGGTGTTTCTCGCTAAGGTGATTAGTCCCGAATTTTTTCCCCTCGGGAGGTGGCGGTGTTCTCTCTTTGGATGGTGAGATCTGGTGCCGTCCTACACGTTGGCTGACAGGGTCTTTTTCCCTTACCAGGTATCTCCCTTCAGTAGGGCACCGCCCCAATCGGGACCAGCTCTAATTTTTCCGACTGGTCTTCCGTTATGTGAGGTAGTGTAGAGTATTTAAGTATAAATGTGTATGTAAGGGGCGAGGATAGGCCAAGGAATAGGAGGGAAAGATCGCGCTCGGTCCGTGGCCCGTTTGTTAGGGTACTGCCCCGGCATTCACCTGGTGTTAATCGGAGAAACCACGTGAAACTACCGATGAGAGCAGCCGGTCACTAGAATTCTCCACCAGACAGCGGCTGGCTTCGACCCGGTTGTCTAGTTAGTGTCGAAAATGCTGCCACCGTGGGACCTGCCGGTCAGAGGCAGTGCAGTGGCGTCAACTACCCCGAGCCGCGCAAGCAGGTCCGGGCGTCGGGGGCCAACGCACTGCACTCGGCGGGGCGAGGAGACCGCCGCGGCGCATGTGTGTCACTCTTTTAGAGGGAGCTCGTTCATCACTCGCGGCGGTTGGGCGGGGGAAGGGGCCCAAAATATCATCGCGCGGCCGGTTTCCTCCGGCCAGAAGAGGGTGAGGGAGGGGGATACGCGCGGCGCGCACCTGCCGTCAACACTGCCCACCGCGCCGCGCAGCGCCGACCGCCGCCTAAAAGTGCTTTCCAAATGACACCGAAACCTCAATAAAATCGCGTGAAAAAGGAAGATGGTGAAAAACCCAACCGCTTCGTTGAAAAAAACAGTATACGAAACGGTATGTTATGTGGTAGAAAGAGTAAATTGCGTGCAGTGGAACAATGGTAACTCGCGTTTTTCGAAGTATTTTCCGGTATCTTGAATTCGTCTGTTTCAAATATCTGGATATGACGAATTCGTGGATACCTTGATGACCCGAGTACTTTAAATTCTTTATTATATCGACTTCATCTCAAATTCTATCGCATTTCAACCTTTTTTTTCTTTTTCGATTTTTTAAAAATTCACATTCTTACCCCTCTATTCTCTTATTAGTTTACCTCCTCAAATAGGATATTTATAATCTTTTGTATTGTTAAATTTACCGCAATAATGTCTCGAGTTCCTCAATATATGGAATGGTGGTAATTATTATTTCTTGCTTATATCGTTCATATCCGTTAATGTACTTCGGGAGGTTCTATATTTAGAAGAGATCCTCGTTAATTCCAGTTTCGTGACTTTTTGGGCGTACCGTTCAGCCGTTGAGGCGCTTTTCGCTTACCACAGGATATCGAAATACAGGAAGTGTGGCTCCCTTGTAAACCAAGTGTTTAAGTTTACTGTAACTCCCTATTTTTTGTTATCGTGACCGCCCACAAGAAATTCTGTTTACACCGGGCACCACACAGTGTTGAATTTGCTTGCATTCGTTCCGGCGCCCAGCTTCCTCACAAGTGTCGGGCGACGGCCCCCTCGAGGAACACGAAAAATATGAGTGAGGTCTGTCATGCTGCCAGTACAATCAACGACAATGTTTGTGTGGCCCTGTTCTGCGCCACACTTGGAGACTTGTGTGCTTCCAATACCTTTCCGTAAACATGGAAAAGTTTATATTACCTTAATATTGTTCATGCAGTAGGCTCGCGATAATCGGAGGTAAACTGGGAGGAGATCTACCTTGGATAAGGAGAATCAGAGATATATCGCCGTTCTTTCCCTAAAACGTCCTGAAAAACGAAGTAAAAAGTAGTTTTAGATTAACGTCAAAGAACTCTTAAAATATATAAAGTATGTACATCGATAATTACACGCAAATACAATTTAAATCTTGAATAAAAATAAACAAATTTTTCCGTAGTGACAAGTAGCCTAATTTTGGGGAAGAGTTCCACGCGACCTTTACGACTCTTTTTATAGAAAAGAAGATTTTAGAAACGATTTAAAACAACTTATTGGATGGATGTATTAGCAGCCTCTAGAAAAATGGGTATATTTTCTAACCCTTGCATGCATTGCCCGAAATCAGAGTCAGAAGACATTGCCACAACAGCGAGTAATATTTAATGAACAAAATTGTATAATTTTAAGCAAATGTTATTAATTTTTAGATTGTTTATATTCCATTGCCATTCACAATTCAAAAACTTAAAACTAGAAACCCCTTCGGCAGAGGCATTAAACGTGACACTTTGATTAAATCCGTTTTCCTGAAAAATTACAATTTTCGTTGTGGATAGCAGCCGAAAGACTCAATAACTGCCGTTGTCGCTGCAGCCTTTCTGACCGGGAGGTTCTGGGTTCGAGTACTGAAGAAGGCGGAGTTTCTAACCTAGTTTGGTAGCTAGGTCGACTTCAGCACCTGTTTGGGGGAAAAAAATTGTAGCTGCACATAAGGGCAAGAAAACACATGCGATCTTTCCTTCGCATCTCTGCCTCTCGTACAGGTCGGGACCGGATCTCACATTGCACCGATAGTGGCATCTGGTCTGTTCAGCCGCCGCCTCGTCGAAAGCTGAGGTGCCGACGTTTCAACCATTCTATTGTGGGCTTCTTCAGGCCTGAAGTGCCTAACAGGGTTGTAGTGCGCTACAGCCATGAAGACCACGATATGACCACCTCGGCACCCCAGCCTTCGTCACTGAGACAACCCAGATATGACTGGTCGCGGAAGTCTACGACACTACCCAAAGTGTGTTGATTCCTCCCCGTGGGGTGTCCTAAGGGATAAGTTGCGGGTAAGGGATAGGTCCTCGTTTGTTCATCTGGCTGTGCAGAACCCTCTGCTTATTCTTTCCACACCCGAAATGACTCACCCTGTGCAATTGTGACGTACGAGGGGAGGAGCAGCGAGTGTTGTCGCCTCCCTGGGCGACCCGACGTTGCTGCGCGGCCTCGTCATTGCGGCAATGAGCCAACGGCGCGGCGCGGCGCGGCGGGGTGGCCCGGATTTCGCTGCAGTCGCGCGACTGCGAAAGGGCACGCGTAATCTCGGAAATTGAGCTATAAATTCCCTTTATTTTTGGATGTACTCGTTCGAAAAATAAACTTATTAATATTTATCTTCTGAATCTGATCGTTTTTCCCTATCTGTTGGTGATTTAGATACCGTATTTACTTGCATACGAAAATGCAGAATAATGTCCTTGAATGTACAAAAAATATATGTATTGGATCACTATGCACAATAAAAATATATTTTTCAGCATTGTTGGCATGTAAGAATACAATTTCCATTTTCAGTGTTTTGTATAAATTTGAACGCTGCGTATCTGTTAAAATAATGGAGTATTAGATGCCGGTTTCGACAAATTAATTAAGCTTACAACGGATAGCTAAATAGAAGTAATCTTCCACAATAAACTATTGTATTTCACAAAATTATATTGAGATGTTACAGTCTACATAGCAAACATGTTTCGAAAGTATCCTCATCTTCAGTGCATTCTATCAGAGTATTTAAATGAAACTTAATAAGATAAATAACATATATAGATAGAATAAAATATGAAATACACTGAAATTCGGCACTTATCGAAGTAACATGGTAAACATGGCTGTTAAGCAGGCGCCATTCCCAGAGCCATTTTGTCTTTGGGAGAACTCTACGATGCGGGGAGGGAGGGTCTACAAGGATATTCAACAACGAAATGCGTTTAACATTGCGAGTTTGTAGCTTGATAATTGAGACAGGTGGAATAATTGTTTACTAATTTTATAATTGCGAAATGTTCTAATATTTTTAGATTTTGTTCTTTGCTTTTTACTTTCTCGCTGCGGAGTAGAGAGGTAAAGTAACGTTATGCTTAGGTTACGTAATGCTGTGCGAAAAAACCGCGAATTTTCGGTAGAAAAACTCTTAACACAGGCGCCTGGTAACGAAAAAGTTGTTAAATCCAGTTGTTACATTTAGAAAGAAATTCTCTAACACGTGGTGTGGCCAGAATCCATGTCTTGTGCATCCTTGATACCTAAAAATCAAACGATGGGAATACGTGCGTCAGTCCATCCGTCCGTCCGTCCGTCTGTGAACAATGCTAGTGGCTAGTCGGCAGTTTAGCCGATATTTTCCAAACTGATATTCCACAATCGATCTAGCTAATGTTGCGGCCCCTTGAATTTGTAACCGATATTTTACTTTTGGGGGTACTTTACATGAAGCCCCTGTAACATGATCCAAATTTTCAAAATAATGGCTCCGTCGTTTTTTATTAAATTTTTTTGTTGGATAGTATCGAGGATGGTAAAGAGAATGGTGGAGGGCTCCTGTTCGTTAAAATCCCCTATTTTTCGAATATTACAAAAGCTAATTTTTTCGGAGTCTTCATACATCTAAACTATTAAAGATAGAGATTTTCCCTGAATGAAGTGGGTTCCTTAAAGACAGATTTGAAATAATGTCATGTACAATTTTTCGAAAATTTGAGTACTTTTAGCGTAATTTTGCCTGAAAATATGGGAAGAAAGTACGTCATGTTTTGCACCACTAGTTCTAAATGCAAAATTAAAAAAAAAAAAACTCGGGTACATGTGTATGCATAACTGCAATGTGTGGCAATATTATCTAATTTCTACAAAATTAAAAACCGTACGGAAAGTACTGCAATCGTAGTTTTAAACACAAAAACTCTTTATTGTTGGGCCATGGTAACGCAAATGTGGATAAATCTTGGTCCTATATCCTATAACACCACGTTCCATCCCACTTAAATCGTAATAACCTGTCATTGTAGCAGCAGTAACCGATCTAACAACTGTGCCAGACTATGGTTGTCTTATATAGTCGTTGCCGACTGGAGCGCCGTATTCTCATTGGTTCCAGATCTCTTTATTTCAATACGCATGGCTGTAACAGTTTTTTTGCCTCTTTAGTGTATGAAAACATGTATATTCATGGATATGTAGTATTTTGTGTCGTAACTTTTCAACAACTCTTCCTTTTGTACGATGTGATCGCATGGGTTCAGCTAGCTTTTAGGACTCCTGCCAAAATGAATATTCCCCGATCGATCTGCCCCACTCACAGCCGTGCTAATTTTAAATTAATTCTTGAAGGTTTTACTTTTCACAATGTGTCAATGACATTTTTACAAATGTCTATGGCTCCGTCGGCTGAGGTGGCTCAGGGCATCTAGTGATGGCTTTGCATTGTCTCTGACCGGGAGGACGTAGGGTTCCAGTCCCGACGATTTCAGCAGCTGTCTGGACGAGAATTCTGACGGCCGGCTGGTCTGATCGGTAGTTTTTATGGTTTGTCCGACCAATAGCTGGCGAATGCCGGAGCAGTTCCCTACCAAACGGGCCACTGTCAGCGCGCTATCTTTCCTTCTTGTACTGTCGTCACCCTTTACACACATATCTACATGCGCCACACTACCTCACAAGACGGGAGTCCGAAAAGGTAGAGCTTGTGCCGGCTGGAGCGGTGCCCTGCTAAAGGGACATACGTGTATTGGGAAAACCCCTTAATTGTGACGCGTATGTTGTCTCTGGATCTCTATTCAGTGGGGAAGACAACCGCCACCTGTCGTAATAAAAAAAGACATGGACTACACTTTCGGGAGTAATAACCATAAGTGACGCACCTGTAAACATGAAATAATCAGCCAATAATGGCTCAAAGTTTTTTCTTTAAATGACTTACAATATTAGAAAGAAATGCCCTTGTAAAGTTGGCATAGGTCCCATTTTCATTGTTACCCCCCCCCCCAATGTTTTCGAAAATTGCAAAATTGTCCACTTTGTTTTGACCACTTTGTACACTACAGTATTGAACATTGTGATTTTTTTCAAATGCATTTTTTCTCCTCTAATAGTTATTTAATTATTCTCAAAATATTAAAAAAAATATAGTAGTTTTTCCGTAATTTTGAGTGAAACACTGGCAATTTCAAAAACAAGATTTTCTCTAAAACGGATGATTTTTTTATACAGAGAGTGCTAATTGCGTTGAAAAACGTGACAATTTCAATTTCGATGTATTATTTTGATTTTGTTTTAATGACACAAATTATTTTTAAAGAAATTTCTCTCACTTTAGTATTTACATTGTAAGTGTTTTATACATTATTGTGTTTATGTGTACAAGAGTATGAATTATTTCTGACAAAATTTCTTTAAAACTCTAGGTTTTCTGTGAAAACGAGCTTAAAATTGCGCAATTTCAGAAATGGTCAAAAGACATTTTCCCCAAAACCGCTCTACATTTTACAATGAAAATTTGCTTATCGGACCAGGTTTTTCTCTTCTTAATACCATTAAAGAAATATTTTTATTTTAGTATTAGGTAACCGAAAAATTGAGAATATATGAAAAGAATAACTTCCAGGCGATAAGTAACAGCATGGAAGAAGGTGGAGGAAACCCTCAAAAGCTAGCCCAGCCTAAAGAGATTAGAAAATTAACTAGTACGAGAAAGTCTGTGCCATTTGGTAACACCTCTAGTTTATTACGTACTATTAAGAGTGCGCATAAAAGAGCCCTTCTTGACTTGTATATTTAAAAAAAAATAATTGAAAATGCTCATTATACGCAAGTAAATATGATTTCCACTTTCTTACAATAAATAGGACTGGCTGTCAAGACCTTTGATAGATGACCTTCGATAGACCTTTGAAGATTGATAAAATTGGTGGATTAATTTCACTTGGTATCTTTCGAAACGTTGAACTCTGTGTAGTAAAGTAAAATGAATAAATATGAGTCTGGTGTTACCATTTGTAGGGGGACGGATGAGTATTATCCTTGGTGTCCCACGTTGATTCCTCTTGATTCCTCTCGTAACCCGCAGTTCGGCGTGACTGTTTCAGGCGTTTAGCCAAGAGAGAGGTTGGGGCTGCGGACCTTCCCAAAATAAGATAGAAGCAGTCTATCATTATCTCGTTTGCCAGCTCTAAAACATAAGTCATTATGTTTGTTCTCAGTTCGCTTAATTGTAAATATGGCGTTGGTGTTGTGGGCAAACTTTCCGCTTTGCTGGACGAAAAATATTACGATTTTATCTTACCCGATGCCTTTGTTGACTGCTAACTTAGATGTCAGGAGTCGGTAAAATAGCTCTTTATTATGCCCTGTAATAAAGTGCCATTTGTACTTGTAGAGCTGATGGTACTTACTTTCACTGAAAAATGAGCTAATATAACTTCCTCGCACACGATCTTTTTATATATTTCTTTCTCTCCACTCCTTGAATATTTCGTTTTCTTTATGATCATTACATTTACTAGGTTCTTCCACAGCTTTCACAGCTTCAATTTTAATGCTTTGATGAATATCTTTCATTATCTCGCAACTTTTGTTACTTTAATTTAGGCGGTAATTGATACCGCCTAAATCAATATAATACCATTCATCATGATATCAAAACCATTATGTGCTTTGTTATTATTTATAAGTTTGCACTAACGCGTCCGTGAATAATTAACTAACTTGCACATAATGGTCTATTTCAGCCACTTATAAAATAAAATACTATTATCCTGTGCGTTAGTTTCAATCTACTTAGGTGTTTACATTCACCCATGAGAACATACTTGTATTTTTATTGTGCATGTAGTAATGTACTGTGAACCTAAAAATAATTGAATGCACTTTCAATTATTTTTATTTCTATTGGAATGTTTGGTCTCAGAAATTAGTAATTTTACTAAATAAAGTACACCTTATCCCTTCGTTAAATGATGAAGCATTCATAAAGCATATTTTATTACATCAAGACTGCCAACATGGGCCTTTTTAATAAATCCAAACAATTCCTTCATGTGTGTTATTAAGTAAATGTATAACAACAATAATAAATTGTGAGTTAGAAGAAAGTACAGTAACATTATCTTTTCTATAAAGAGGTACTTTTTTTTGTAATAACTTGTAGAGTCCAACTTGGTAGAAAATTGTTGAGTTCATTCAAAAAGAACCCAAAGAATACTGATGAAAAGTAATTATTATTCCTATTGCTTTGTTTGGATTTCATGCCCACCCGTCCATTATGATTGCTTTTGAATATAAAAAGAACTATACAGACGAATTTAGGATTGCGAATACGTTTCTGTGGATGCATTGCTTTCGAGGTTTACATGAAACGCTGATTAAATTAAATACATCTTAAATACTCGTAAAACAGTCACATCAGATTAAATTTTACTAAAAACAGCAACGAGTTTCGAGGCCGCAACCGAAGCTTGGAAGTCCGGGAGGTTCAAGGTTCTCGTCATAGCGAATGTTCGACATCAGGTTAAGAGCTGGGTGGGGGCCCGTGGTTGGGATTTCTAGTGGCTGTTTACAATGGTCGGTTGGTTACGTGATTGTCTCCTGTGGATTCCAGGCGGATGTCGGAACTGTAGCTCAAAGAAAGATCCACGGACCGCGCACGGGCTATCCATCTAGAGTAGGTCCGTCGGACGAAGGGGTACGAGAATGACCTTCAGGTATAGAACGATTTTCTTAAGAATGGGATAAAGTGACAGTTCGCAAAACAAGTGAACATCACGTGTACTTCAGAGAAGTAAACACGTGCATCGTCACGAGTACGCATCTCACATTCAAGACTCGATTTTAAAACAAACATAATACTTGTCAGATAAAAACTAAAACTAAATTCAATGTAATTTTTATAAAAAGAAAGAATTTTTACAGAAGAGCACAAAGCTTATACTTCCTAATTTCAATTATTTCTCGTGGCGCACTATATTTTCGGACGAGGACATCACAGCCAGGGAGCGTCGTAAATATTTACAAGTTAGCCAACTGCAAACGAACGAATGGAGGAAGTAGAGTCTAATGTGTTCAAGGGCACAACGACCACAGAATCGTCAGTTGTGTTGGCAGCACTAACTGTCAAATCATCCCATTCTAAAGCAAATCGGACAATAGGTTCGGCGCAACGAGATCCGCTAGAGCAGGACAGTAGAGAGTAACAAACGCCATACGAAAACTGCTAATTGGCAAGTCCAGCGAACATGTTATTACACAAAGGAACATTTATTAAATAATAAAGACGTTTCAATAAAAAATTAAACTTAATAAAATATTATACAAATTTCAACTATTCAAACTCTGTAGCTCTTTCTAAAAGGTTGACGCCTGGTAAGGTGGTAGAAAAAGAAAAGTAAAACAAAACGTTTCAACAATGCTTCGGTGCCAATTTTTGTTTCAATTGGTTCACACTTCTACACTCTGAAAAACTATTTTTTTTTTTAAAGATTTAAAATGTATGATTCGTATTTTGGAAAGAAAATTGTTCCATAATATTCTTTGTGGCAAATTTGGAATCCTAATGCACATTTAAAAGGTTATTTTCTATTTTTAAAAGAACGTTTTAGGACTCACGCGGAAATTTGGTTTGTTTTCTTGCATCCCGCCATAACCAATTACTCTGTAGCCCTGTGCAATGGGAGCGTCCAGTTTCCCTGGCCCTGTGCACTGCGTGCCCTAGCTAGTGCTCAGAGCACGTACGTGCTGTTTGCCAGTCCTGTTCTAGTTCCCCCCCCCCCTGCTGTCATTGTGGCCAGCAGTAGGCTGTTATTCCATCTCACTCGATGTGAAAAGTCTCTTGCAGCCCTCCCGTTACGAGGATGTCTTGACAAGGTCCGATGACAACTACAGCGCCCTCGAAAAAGAGATAGTTTTATACTTAATTGACCGAGTAATGAGAGGTCTTGTTTAAATCGACCGTTCGATATTTTGCCAGTCGAAATGTGTGTTTTACGCGGGCATAACGTATGCTGTGTTCGAGTTTCTTGAAATGTGTCATTTTTTTCCCTGGAAATCATTAATCGCCACAGACGTGCCGTGTTAAATTGGCATATTTTTGTTAAGATGACTACCCTTACACGTTCGTAATTTGTTGATACTGAAAATCATTAAACACGACAGATGGGCCGTGTTAAATTGGCACATTTTTCTTAAGATAACTACCCTAACACGTTCGTAATTTGTTGATAAACCACCTCATTACACAGTGCATTGCACATGTGTTCCATTTATCCATTTGCTTTAGCTCTTTGTCGAAAAGAAAGAAAGAAAGAAAAATACTCGCGCGCGGGAGTGCGTTTGTATGGAGGGGGGGGGGAGTTCGAGCGCCCAGCGCCCGGCGCGGCGGGCGCGTGAGGCGCGGAGGAGGCGGCGGCGGCGGCAGGACGCGGGCGTCGCGACGGCCAGTAATACTCCTGCGTCCGTCGGGCGCCGTGTGGTCGCTCTGCGTCGTCGCCCACCCGCTGTCACCCTCACGGTCTCCGCGTGTGTGTGTGCGCGCGTGCGTGCGTGTCTCCTCTGCTGACGCAGCCGAGTGTTTGCGCGGGGCTGCGTTTGGTCGGCGCCTTTGCGCGTTAGCTTTCGCCGCCGCAGCCGCACGCGTGACAGCGACTGTTTGTGCTGGGACTACGGCTGCGTGACTGGTGTGACGCGGGGCTTGAGCGCGCGTGATTTACGGTGAGTCGTAACGTTTATGAGCAGTCTTTGCGGGGAGCGTTACATCACGCTTGCCGAGTGGTAACTCCTTCGTTAGCGTTATGTAAAAGTGATTTTTTTTGTGGGAATTTCGGAGGTCGTGGAACTCGTTTGGTATTAATTTGTGCGATGCCGAAGACATCTTACTGATGGGTCAGAAAACCGTCCTGTTAGTTTGTATTTGTGAAGAAATTGACTCAAATCTATCTTATTAAAGTTTGGAAATTTTGTGTAACGGAGTGGTGATTTACTTTCAGTTTGACGTGTGTGTTCAATGATGGACACACTGCACGTTCGTGATCGAAGTGGACATAATCGTGATATGGCCGAACTCAATTCAGATTCACGTTTTTGGGACAGAAATGAGCAGGTTTGTTATTAGGTGGCAGCGCGGCGTTGGTCGTTTTGAACTTCAGGTGTGTCGAATATGGTTGTCATCGTCAGTTTCTGTGCGAAATGTGGGTATCCTTCCTTGTACGTGTATATCATTGCCGCTTGGGATAGGTACAAGACACAACATACGGCTCCTTAGACCTTTAGAAGAGGATTTTAGATTTTTGAATCTTCTATTGATCAGGCTTTGCATAAAATGTACTGAACATAAAAAGTTCTGGGTTGTATCATAGAGTCGCTAATCGAAAAAAACCTTAACTCGTGTTTTTGTTAACTGAAGGTGTGGAAATATTATATATATATATATATATATATATATATATATATATATATATATATATATATATATATTAATATATGAAACATTGCCAAATACGCTTTTTCTGTTTTTGTCCATTTCATGTGTTTAATCTTTTTCTGTGTATGTTTGCCCGAGCGTGTGTCACGCGCATTTCGTTCCCCTTTCTCCACGTGACTTGTAAACACGTGTGACAATGAACTTTACATTACTGTAGTACTATAGAGACTTAAAACATTCTAGAGCTATAGTTGTGTGCTCGACTTGATTTATCTTTGACATACACCTTGACTTGTCGTACTTAAAGTTATATTTTTTTGCACTCATTACACAATCTATATTCTCTAGTTCTCTATCTGAATAACGTGAAAATGTGTTATTCGAAAATATTGAAGTTTGCAAAGACTTTTATCTGAATTCCCAAATACGTCGGAATTTTATCAAGTGATTCAGTGTAGATTTTGTTTGTTGTAAAATCATATTTGTAAATTAATTGCATTAAATGAGTGGAAAACGCGCTTGAAATTGCTAATATTTTCCAAAAATATTCATAATATTAATCTTTTACTTTCAGGTCTTTAACTCCATCCCATTCATATCCTTCTTTCGCTTGACTATTTATCTCTTAGCTTATTTCAAGTTAGTTTCTTTTCGAAAACGAACATTGCCTGATGTGGTTTCGCGCCTTAATTTCGTAACTTTAGTTTCGATGACACGCGAGGTGCGATTCCCAGGGTCGCTGTCTGGCCCAAGAGCCTTCGCGAAGAGTGAGGTTATGGTCAACAAGAAGTGGAGATAAACATTTCTTTCGCCGCGTCATTCATTGTGGCTCTTTCAACTTCAACTGTGCAACCTGTTCAACTGTTCAAAATATAGTTTTTAAGTATCTAATAGTGGCTTTCGAAAAATTCATTCGCATGCTTATTGCTTTGAATTTGTTTCGATAGGAATTTATTCTCACGAAAATATGCAGCCACGTAAATTCAGGAAAGTGGAAGAAAAATGGACGTACATTTTTGTGATTTTTCCCCTGCATTGTAATGGGGTAAATATAATAATTATTTTAAGTGTCTTTAAAAATTGCTATAATTGCAATTGAATTCATCCAAGAATGAGTTTTAAAGTGATCATTGATCATTGAAACTTTGTAGTTAAATTAGAACGAACAATGAAAATTCTGATGAATAAAACTTTCTTCAGATTGTGTTTTTCTTAAAAATTTTGCATACATGCTCTACAATTACTGAGCCGACACATTATTTAATATACTAGGTTCAGTATAACTGAAGTCGAAGAAAATGCCAGAAATTTATTATCTTCTTGAAACTGATTCTTGAAAATTAATATTAAACTCTACGAATAAAAACTTGTGTTCAAGAAATGTTTTCTTTAGTGTTCATTGCAGAAATTCATATTAACGTAGGAAACAAATGCCGGTTTCAACACACTTCCTCTTTGTACATTGCCAAACCGTCATTAAGTAAACTAAACACACACTTTTCTATAGTCATTGTATCCAGTGAAACTGGTAATGAACATACAGAATCATTTTACTGTGACACAGACGCGAGTCATCTGAAGAAAAAAAAATGCAAGGAAGTTGAAGTAAATATTTCGCAAGGCTTACAGATTTTGTGTGTATGTGTACATTTGAGGTAGCAATGGATAATCCGCGTTTTAGTCCGTTAATGGACAACGTCGCTCTCTGCGCGTGTTCCCAAAAGTAATGCTGGTTATGGTGAACCGCTCGCGACTAACAATAAGATATTTACTGTAACAGATAGTGCCAAAATAAACTAGTATGCTCTCGATGACAGATTTTTTTCTGAACTTCAAAATACTCAAACACAGCAAGTTAAAATATTTAGTATATTAATTTAGCTTTAAAATAATGTTTATTGCGTATTGTTAGTATTGTATTAGTAACTTTTGCAAATCCTTCTCCAGAATCCATGTTTACCAACACTTGATTTGTTCACGTACTACAATGACACCCTTGACTGACTCCTGTTGTCCTGTTTTCATCCTGTCATGGATAAGCCAAAACAGTTTCATCAGAGGCATCTTAGTCCCTTTATTCGTCATAAAGATAACTCAAGACTCCCTAAGCCTGAAAACTCGCAAACTGCAAACTCGTATTGGAATTTGCGGTCCGGAGGCGAAGTATTTTTCTCTAGATGTTGTATTTTTCATATTCAATATAGCCGATGTGAGGCGTTGACTATAATAGAATACGTCTTGTGTTCATTTGTTATGTACGTGGATCGGAACCAGCGTCTTTGGTTCACTGTAACCGGAAGTTCCCGGCATCCTCAGTCGACTGTATTGCGCTGAAAACCGTGTTCTGGAATGACGGAGCAATCCGTTGGTTTTCTCGGTCTCGTGCTCTCGATGACAGGACAACATTCGAGCGGCTACCGGGAGAAGCAAGATACCCGCGGTGTGATGAAATCCTCAGCAATGGCCATGGCAATGACCGTGCTCGCGTGTCCAACAGCGGATGACGCAACGCAGAACGGCGAGTCATAATGAGGCGCTCAAGCAGGAAACATCGAGAAGGCCAGCCAGATTATAGGTTAACCTGCATACCTGTGCGAACTGCCCCCGCTTTATGAATCATAGGTTTGAAAGCGTAGTACCCTCTGGAGCCTAACTTTCAGCTGTCAGGCCTTTTACCGCGTTGCAGCACGTAGGTTGTGCGTAAGTATCATCGATCATAGTAATATTGCTTTTTTTATAAGTGTTGCAACGAAGGTGATAAATGAAATGGAATGAAACGTAAATTATTGCATACAAAATTAAATGTCATGACTCAGCATTTTCTGTTATAAAGTATTGTGTTTAAGAATGTTTATCTCTTAGCACCATCGCAGTTCAGTATGGCATACTCAGCAAATTATCAATTGATTTTTTTAGCTTCTGTAACTAGTTAGAAATTTCACTACAATTTCATCAGTATGGTGCCCATAGTATTCACAGAAGAGAAAAGTTTTAAGGTCAGAGAAAGAATGATAACGTTCTTGCGATTTTCAAAGTCAGAGATGTAATTTAAAAAAATCCAGCACTTTATCGTCCAAAAAATATATTTGCCATACCTTTCGTTGTTTGAATTTCAGGAGCCTGTAGTTCCAAATTCGGTTGGCTCAAATGGGAAAATATATCCCCAGAATAGACAATTTGAAATTAAAGTTTTGGTTGAATGCTCGAGAAAACGTATCAATCCAGCGAATTTTAGTGTAAAATAATAAATGATCATGGTCTGCATTCATTTTGACATTCTTTGAATATGTGTATATTCGGAGCACTGATTTTTTACAAAATTGACTATGTATATCGTTTAATGCTGTGCTTAAGCCAAGCTGGCAAGTATTTGGCGCTAAAAAACTTGTCAAAATGACGTCAGGCTGACAGTAACATATAAAGTGAATTTGCTTTTATTGACAACTCCAATTTCATTAGAACCAACGCATCCAAACAAAGCCCGGTAAGGTAGCTCAGAACCAGCATTACCGTTCTCTGACGCGACTCTGACCGCGAAGTCCTAGGTTCGAATCCCGACGGTGGCGGATTTACGACAGGAGCTATGAAGTTAGGTCGAATTCAGACGCAGGGGAGAATTCTAACAGCTGGCTGCTCTGAGCGGTAGTTTTCTTTCTCTCCCATCACTGTCAGGCGTATTCAGAGAAAGTTCCACAACTAATTAGCCTCGGACAGCGTGGTATCTTGCCATTCTCATCCTTCTCACCTCTACTCCAATTAAACACACCCACACACTCATCTATATGCACTAGTCTATCACTCATGCTATCAGTCGGGAACTTCGACCGGGAGAGCTGGCTCAGGGGTGGCAGCTGATGTCACTGCAGTGCGTCTGACTAGAAGGTCCTGAATGCGAATCTCAACTGTGTCAGGTTTTTCGACACTAGCTTGTTAGGTCGAATTCAGTCGCTGTCTGGAGGATAATTCTAGCGGCCGGTTGCTCAGATCGGTAGGTTTCCGTGGTTTCTCCGATTACCACCAGGCGAATGACTGAGCTGTACCCTAACTAACCGGCGACGGACCGCGCGCGATCTTTCCTTTCTCTTCCTTGTATCTTCACCCCTTACTTTCTACTTACATTTATACGCAGTACACACATGCCGTGAGACTGGTCTGGAGCTTAGAGCTTGTCGCGGCTGGGGCGATGCTCCGCTGATGGGAAATACCTGAAGGGGAAACTGCCCCAAAAGTTGACATATAGGTCGGCGTCTGATCTCAGCGGAGAAGAACGCCGCCCCCGCTCGGGATAAAG